ATTTTGAGGTATTTGAATTCAATTATGCTGTCTAGGATTATTCAAGAGCATTACTGCCTAACAAAGAAGATTAGGTCATACTTTTATATCTGGTCGGATATTCTGTGTCTGTCTGGCTATTTAAGGGCACTATTAGGCTGCTAAGTACACAACAGAACAGTCTTTGCCTAAAGCAAAGTCTGAAAGAAAAATGTGTGTGATATGCAGGAATGTATGTAATCTAAAACAAAAGATGCTACAGATAACACAGTTTTGATTCTGCAGTGAACTAAATCCTCTAGTGCAGTTGAGATTTTCTTCCACACATATTTGAAATGTTAAATCTCAATGTGATTAAGCTAACATGATTTTTTTTTTCATTACAGCTTTCCATTAAAATCAGGGGATGTGATTTTACAAAAAATAAATTATTTTCCTTTTGTGAAGCAATTGCTCTTAGTCTGTCAATTTTGGGTTTCTTGTGTTAAGGACGTGTTTTATAAAAACTACTTGTTTAACAGGCTGAATCCTAAGCTAATTGTTTTCAGGAGAAATTACTCATCTTTCTGCCTAACAGAAACAACAACATTTCCAAATCAAATAAAATAGAAACAAATAATTTAATTAATACCCAAGAAATTTCCTTTTCTGAGTGATTTTCTTAATAAACCCTGGAAGCTAGAATTCATTTAAGAAAATATGTAACATCCCAAGTAACAGCTTGTTTTCAGAAGCTTAATTTAAAAACAGTATTTAATATTCTGGAGTATGTATATAAAAATAAAATGAAAGTGTTTGATAGTATCACAAGTTCATATATATTACTGTAATTTCAGGAATTTAAAGATATTCACATAAAAAGAATACATAAAATATGATTAGCAAGTTTGGTAGTATAAAAAAACTAGATTAGGCTATCTGGTGATGATGCATAGTATTAATTAAGAGAAAGATTATAATATAAATGTGTTTTACTTGATTTGATTAAGGAACTTCCTTCCCTTTCTGGTTTGGGGAAGATTTTTTTTTTTTTTTTCCTGCACATTTTTTAAGGTGGAAATATTACCAGCTTTTTCACAGGATGACCTATATTTAGTTTGAGAATTTTTGTTCAGGGCCCTTTTCTTCAGGATTCCTAGAGGCAGGTAGGTGACTGCTGCTTGTGCACATGTACGCCATTCCCAAAAGCGTTTGACACGTACACGTCCTTCAGGTATTATCTGATTGAAGCCTTAAGTCCAGCACACACTAAGTAGAATTGTTCCTGCTCACTCTGCATTAACAATACAGAGTTTGTTTGACAGTTCTAGGCCAGGCATATCATGGCCATAGATTAGTGCCATCATAAATGAGCTTTTTTTATCTCTAGTTCAAAATACCATAAAAGCTACTGAAGTAAACATTATTTTTCTTCAATATTCTCTTAACACACAAAATAGCTTTAAAAATATGTTTTTATCCATAATATCTCAAAAAACATAAATAAGAAGTCTGTTTATAATTATCAATGTACTCTTATAATGTGAAGTTACATAGTTATTTCAAGTTCTTAAAATTATTTAATCCTTTATATTGAGGTGCAGTTTTTCCATAGAAAAGCAACCTTAGGGTAAATTCTGGACAGAACTCAAATAATTGAGCTCTTGCTAAACTACCAACCAGAACTGTAAAAGCAAAACAGAATTGTAGTCCCAAGACTTTCCTAACCATTCAAGTTTCAAAGTTTCAGCTGAAATGGTTTCAAAAATCAGTTTAGTTGCTACTTGGGCAGCACTTTGCGTGCACTTGCTCTACATTGATTTCTGCCTGTCTTCAACTGATTAGGCTAAATGAATATTACATACTTGTAAATTAGTTTAAATGTGCTCATGAAGTTTGCACCACTTTTGATAAATGATTTATCTGTATAGGTCGAGTGTAATTTCCTTGAATCAACCTTAAATTCTAATTCAGGTAATTCCAAAATTTTCACTGGAATGATGGGAAGTCAGGTAGATGGATAAGTCAGATATTCACAATGTACTACTTTGTCTACTAATTTTGAAGAACTGTATAGTTATGGGAAATAAGCATCTGAGTGCTTCACTGTATAAGGTAGAAGTTTTAATTTTGTGCATTCTCCTTTATATGTAGCCTTATGAAAATTTGTCATGTTCAGTGTGTAATTAAATTTTTCTTTTTTAGTTTTTTTTTTTTTTTTTGTAAACAGCTACTTTTGATTGTTAAATACTTAAAATACTTAACAGCATTTCCTTAAATGCTTCCTTTTTTAAAGCAGCACAAACCTTAAAAAATTTCATTCTTTATGTGCGGTAAAATAATTGTCAGGTTCAAGAGTTATTTCTTTATTCAGAAGGAATAGCAACTCCTGACTTATATAGATGATTTGGGGATTTTTTTTTTTTTTCCTGGCAAGTCATATTCAGGTTAGAAATGTAAGAGACTTTTCACACTATCCTTAAGTGATCTGCTGAACTATGTAACACAATTGTTACAACTTTTTTGTATGAGCTTTTTTGGTTTTAATTTTGTTATTGGAGGAGGAGGGTGCAATGCTTAAAGCATTTTAAAATGGAAAAATGAATATACTTATTTTTTTCAAAAGACTTTGATTTTTAGAAGTTTTATGTACTGCTGACTCAAATACTTCTCAAAGGTAAAGTACGTGTGACTTCCAGACAATGAACAGTGGGGAATATTTAGTTTTAGAAAAATTCAAGATTTTTGGTAGGGGTGAAGAGTTCTTTTTTTATACTTTCTAATTACATATTTAATCTTCCATGTTTATAGCTTAGTTAAGCCAGGTTACCTTAGAGAATAGTTAAAATTGCTTAGTCAAATCTACTGCAATATTTGAGGTGGAGAAGAGGATTGTATTGTTTCGGTTTTGCTTTTGTGATCACTATTGAAAGCTGACTTGGCAGAAAGCAGTCCCTTTTTCTGGATAAAAGGGAAACGGGCTATAAGATAAGTTATTGATGAAATTAACTGCTGAAGTGAAGAGGAAATGCAGCTGGCCAATACATGTCATAGTGTGAGCTCTATTAAATGAATATACGTGCAGTCAACCATTCACAGCAGCCACACTGGTCTTGAACTGCATTGATCTATAGTATAATTCTAAATGAAATTGATGCAAGAGAGCAACCATTGACAGCAAGGGTAAAGAGAACCATGAAATGTCTTGTACAGGAAAAGTATGATGGAGAGTAGGCTCATCTGTGCCATGGACAGAAAATGCAGTGATACCATGATGTTTGTAGGTGTTCCTAGATACGTCATGCTTCATTATAATGCAGTAGATGTCACTGACTCTTCAAAAAGTGTTTTACAGTATTTCATTCTTAGAAGAAAATTCATAAAGAATTCTGTTAAGAATTTAAACCCGGCTTTTCGAGAACTTCAGACACAGCTTTGCAGCTTGCATCTCTGAGCTTTGGGTGAAATTTAGCTGTGATAATGTTTTCTGAGAACTGTCTATATTAACATTTAAAGATTTGTTTATTTACAATGCACTTAATATAAATAGAGCTGTTACATGAAAGCTTGTAAGATTCTTTGAAGTCTGTTGTGCAAAAATACTACTTTTTAGTCAGGTACAATTTCAGGTGGCTTTTCTCTCAAGCATGTCCTTTCAGGCAACCACTCATCAAACTGCTTAATTTGCAGGCTTTGATGGATAAAACATTGGGTTCTATTAGACTTTACTTACACCAGGGCCCACTTGTCCTATAAAATAATCTTTCTCTTAATTTATGTTCACTACTAGATACCCTTTCTTGCATACTGCCTTGACACATTCTAGCAGACTCTCTTCTTGTCTGTAATAAGACTCAAATCTGGACAAACTCCTTTGCAGTGTTTCCTTAATTGCTACCACATTGCTTCTAGGGGTAAAATTACTTTGTAAGTTTTTATTGGATTGGTTGAAGTACAGATGGAAATATGTGTGTGTTTATGTACACGTCTGTTTGTTAAAATTTATTAATAACTTGTAAAATCTATTCTTTGCACACCCATGACACCCAGTAACAATAGTGTATACATTTGTTTAGCTGTAGTATAAAGGAAATTGTAATAACTACTTCAGAAATATTTATGGTTTCTCTAGTGTAGCAATTGTGAAGAGTGTTGCTAAAATTTAACCACCTTTTTAAAAGGCTTCAAGCTCAATGGAATGGCAGTTAATTTTGTTCTTTTAATAGATTTGCAGTGTTTGTGTGTGGTCTTATTTGAATCTTACATTAGTAATGTGTGTAATACTCCAGACTAGACGATATCCATCAAACTAGGTATGGGGGTAAGAGCAGGCTCTGCAGTGGTCTCAGCTTTCTGTTTCTTCAATCCTGCTCTTCGGTCTGATTCTCTTCAGTGTATATCAGTGTGTATCTTGAGTTTCCCTCATATCTTAAGTACTTTGCATGTGTTGACAGGTTTCTTTAGTCTTGGACCACCAATAGTTGCAGATGATTCAAAAATATTTATTTTAAGTGTAATACATTCAGATCCACATTGTTTTGAATGCTGTCCATGTTAAGGACTTACTTAAATTTTTTTTTCAGAGAAGCCAGGAGACAATAAGCAATGAAAATTTGTGATGTCATACCAGCATGGAGAAAAAAAATCACAGTATTCTGTAGTGCTGGAATTATAGAAGTGACAGAATTGCAAAAAGAAATGAAATTAAACCTTTTTAAACTCAAGTTGAAGTTGTATCTCTTGATGATAATATTTGAAAACTTGTTTAGAAACACTGAAGAAATTTGTAAAACAGAAGTTACCTCCATTCATAAACAGATGTATTGCTAATTTTATGAGAAAAAATGGTGCAATTGTGTGATATCTAAAGCATTCCTGGAAGAGAGCACACAGACGCTCCAAAATACCAATCCTTTTATATGCTGCACATTTATTTTAAACCGGTTGTAAATTTTGGTTTTTTTCATTCTTTTACATGTTTTTAACCCAAACTGAATTTTTGAAATTGAAATAATAGTTTGATATCTCTTTGTAACTTCAAGGTTCATGTTTCATTCGAACTGACCAGCTGGATGGAGAAACAGACTGGAAACTGAAGGTTGCTGTCAGTTGCACACAAAGATTGCCAGCTTTAGGGGTAAGCATTCTGTTTGCTTTTAAGTTATCTTCTGTGTGTGCATTTATATCTGTTATCTAAAAGATTGTTACAGTTACTGTAAGTGTTGAAAGATACCTGTTACCAGAACCTTATTTTTTACAATAAATAAGACACAAATATTCCTGGTTTTGCATTGAGAAGAAACTGAGTCAGAACTGGATTTTCATCTTTCAGCCTAGTGGCTTTCATTGTTGTCCACACAGAGATTCACACTCTCCAGAAGCAAGTCACAGTTACAGTGTTTTCAACTGAGTGTTAGACTGCAAGTACAAATTATTCTTGTCTCAGGAACCATTGCTTTAATCACTTACTTGTGAGGTTGGAAAACAATAGTCTGCTGCTGGAAGTTTAAGTGCTTTTTGTTGTCACCATTCTTTCTGATTCAACTGGGTGCAATGTGCCAGTTTTTGCAAGCAGGGCTCTCTAAGAGTGGCTTGAATGTGGGTATTTTTTGAGTGCATACATGCGTTGTGTCACGAGTAGATCTAAAAGCATGAAAAGGATCACAGGTGTGTGTGTATGTATATATACACATCCAAAATAAACATATGCCTACAAAAGCAAATGTAAAATTGTATAAAAGTCTCCTTTACAAGAAGCTGAATTGTTTCCCTTGTACTGGGAAAGCTTTCTGTTATACCAGCGAGTTGGCTTATTATTAGGAAACTCCTTTGAAAACGTACTCAAGTGACAAGCTTGTGGAAATTCACCTCTTCAGAATTTCTGGTGTTTTTACACTAAATCTTTTAGGTGTTTTATTAAAGGAAAATATACCTTAGGAAGACTGTTTATATTCCATCTCAATAGCAAAAGTATTAGATTATCTGCTGGATCTTAGCAAGACTTCTGCAGTTACACTTCCAGAAATAGAGTTGCTGCCACAGTCATACTAGTAAAAAGGAGAGGTTTTCTCCTGTGTTCATATTCTCTGACTACTGGCTTCACAAGTGACAGAAGGAAGAAGTCGTTACATTGCAAATGCACTTTAGAGGACTGAGAACAAGGTTTGGAACCAAAGGTTGGTAATGCCAGACAGATATGCCAAGTCAGGCTTCAAGTCATGAGTTCTGGTGCCAGAACAGACTTTAACAAATATTCTGTAACCTGCAGTTGCATTTAGTGTTTGTAATAATGCTTCTCTGTTGTTTTTAACATTTTATCAAGGCCTTCTCTTGTTTTCTCATTAAAAGAAAATAATATACAAATTTGGGACATATGTAATGTGTTTGACTAATATACAGTCAACTTTCTATTTAGCTTTAATTTTTTTTTTAAATTTAGTAGTACTTCTCCAACAGTTACTCCTGTATTCAACTTAGGTGTTATGTTTTGTCTTTCTTTTTTGGAAACGTTACTGACTGCAGTTGCAAATACTCTGCAAAGCACTGCCTCAGAGTTTTATTTGTTGATTATAATTTTGATATTCTGAACTTAGAAGTCTTGGTCTACTGAGGCTGATGAAATCTGGAGTTATAATGCAGAGGCTTCTCTGAATTATCCTTTGGAAAAGAAAAAAAACCTTTTGCATTAACTTTTCTTTTTCCCCTGAAAAATTCAAACCCATGTTTAAAGTTTTTCTCTTCTTGTTAGGAAGAAAGCATGGAATTACCTTTCTAGCTGTCATGTTAGGAGGAACATGAAATTTTTGTATTTTAATTGCTATATTATGTTCTTTGTTTAAAAAAAAATTATCAATAGACTTCATAAATAAAGCATTAGGCATCTATGGAGATAATGCAAAATTATGGTTGAATCTATGCAGTATGATTTGGAGAATTAAATGATTGTACTTTTTTAGTCTAGTAAATCAAAAGTGATTGAAGTTGGGATGTCTTCATTTGAATGGTGGGCCATGCAGCCTCATCTTCCTGCAGACACGAAGGTTCGCTTCAGGTGGTAGTTGTTTTGGATGTGAAGGCAAGGGAAGGCAAGATATCGCCAAGAAATTATTTGTGCATCTTGGAAACAATATAGAGGGGTCAACTGTACAATATAGTAACCATTTCTTCCTTAGTTGTTTCCACTTAGGCTATTAACCTCCATCTAACTGATCTGGGCTTCTTGCAAGATCTTTATACTCTCCCTCTTGAGCTGTAGGTGATAACCTGAGTCATATTTTAAGTGCGGTTAATCAGGAGCTGCTTCCACTTAACACACCTTTCCTGGCTACCAGCAGCATCTGAAAGCCACAAGCAGTTGATGTGCCTCTGCCCCTTCTCACACCACTCAGTTATTGGTGCTTACCAGATGCCACACAAGGCTTTGTCTGCATAAGCTGACATTTCATCCTGAAGTGACTGATACTGGGTGTAATACTTCCTGCCAACTAAACTATAACACTTCCAAGTCTTTCTGCTATGGGGTTTGGACAAACCACTTACACTTGGTGGTTCTTCATTGAGCAAATTTTAAATGGCTGCTCCGAGAAAGACTTAGACTGCTTGCAGTGCTCATGTCATATATCTGCTTCACTCCTAAGCCCCGTCTGTCTGTGACTTACTTTGGTGGAGTGGTAGCCTAATGCACCCAAATGTAAATGGTTTTTAATCTGGCACAAAAAAATGATGCTCAGTGCCCATCACAGAATATTATTTCCTTTCCTGTGGAAAAGCACATTGATAATTCTTAGATTTCTGCAAAGATGCTTTAACCTTTACTCAAATTACAATAATATGCAGTATCTTGTGTTGGCATGAGCTGTCAGCCGTGTCACCAGAGCAGCACTGTAATCCTACCCACTCTGGCACCCAGAACAAACAAACCTGCAGACCTTCAGAGCTTTTCTTAAAGAACAGATGATACCACCAAGATGATCAGTACAGATTTTGTTGTCTTTCTAAAGCACTTAATGTGATCAGAGAATTAAAATTTCAGCAAGTCCCTTAATGACGGCTGAGCAGCAAAAATGGTAACACCTGGATTAGGTTTCTTGCAGTTTCATAGTTATAGGTGGGACAGTTCTGGCAATACACAAGTTCGGAGGCATTCTTCTCTAGCTTGTGTGATCAGCTATATTTATTAGCAGCAGTGAGGTCACTGTAATTTTCAATAAATGGTGACTTGCTGATTTATATCAGAAGATCCATACGGCAGTAAACAATACCATTTACATTTAATTAGTTTTATTGAACCAAAGGCAATTTTATTTGCAATGAACTACATGTTATGATTAAGAATGTATTTTAATGATCTTTAAGTAAGGTGAACAAATGTTGCCCTTGACCTAATAGAGGAGATTTTTCTATGTTATTGATAACTGTGGCAATTTTTAAATTGTGAAATGCAAAAGAGAGGATTTTCGTTATTGTACCATCACAAAGTCATTTTCTGACTTGCAGTGTAGAAGACTGAAATGCATTCTTCTCAATTGTTATTTTTATGTATGAGATAATTAAATGCATATAAATTTTTAAGAAAAACTCATCTACTGTTATATAAGAATATTTTTATACTTGAGATTCAAGTCTTTCATGTAGTTTTTTTATTCTAGAGCTGTTACAATCCCCAAATGTGGGGTTTTTTTTGTCTTGAGTAAGAAAATAACTGAGATCATTTGACCTTATTGCATCCTAAAAGTGATGTAATTTTAGGTGTAGAATACTGTTTCCATTGAAGGTATCAGTAAAACTATTTGGCTTCAGTGAATCAGCAGTGCAATGTATTAGTATGAAAATAAGTCTTTACTGAAGATGAGTTTCACAAATCCCCCATTCGTTAAATCATTAATAAAAAGTAGTTGCCTTTTCTAAAAATAATAGAATCAAGTCCTTTGTTTAAAGTGATTTCTTTTTCCCACGCTTTTGTATAAGGGAAAGCAATGACATAACCGAACAAGGTTTTTTCTTGCCTAGTGAGCAGAAATTATATTTACATGTACTGTTGCTTACAAATCTTGATGTCTCCTTGTTAAAGTCACCCTCATGGTTTCTTTCAAGACATTGAGAGGAGAAATGCACAGCTTCCATACTGGAAAAGCAGCACTTGGTGAAAAAACATCTTTGTATTACAGTAACCTTTCCTGTTCCTGGTTGTTGAATGGAGTTCATAGGATATATGTCTTCTGTAACTGGATCATTCTTCAAATTTTTCTTTCTTTACCTTGATTATAAAACTACATTTTATTGGCCTGAGAAAGGTGTCCAGTTGGAGTACAGAACACTTGGCTACAGCAAATAAGAATCTTTAGCTCTTTTCTTTACCCTAATAATGAAAAAAATACTTCAGAAATCTGCTGAGCTCAAATAATAAGCTTTTATGTCTTTCTACTGCTCATGAATGAAATGCCAATGGGATAACATTCTAGATTTCACCCAGAGCATAGGTCTTTCTAATTTTACAACAAATCCCCATGAACTTCTGGAATACTATGCCAGTTCTAGCATGTAGAATTTCAGAGTAATGCCAATAATGTACAGATCTCAGTTTTTCATAAAGATAAATAAGTTTGTTTCATAGTTGAAATTCAAAAAGGAAAAAAAAAGAAAACACAAATTTAGGTGTTAAATCAGAAATACAAAAGGGGAACTAAAACATAAAAAGACACCAAAGGAGTGTAGATAGGTAGACAGAAATTTTTACATTTCAGATGAAACAAAGGAGAAGATCACAGTAGGAAAAAAATAGATGAGAACCAAGGAAAATATATTACTGTACAAATGCTAATTCACTTTTAAAAGGTGGATATTTCTACTTTCTTTTATTTTAATTTTGCTTCCCACTAAGGCATTCTTTGAAAAGAAAGAAGTTGACGCATTTCACTAGCAGTTTTTATTGTGTATATGAGCATGTGTGTGGTATTAGTTTTCTTCTGTTATCCACTACTGAGAGACTCTTTATTTTTCTTTGCATAATAAAGCACATAATAGCTTAGATTAGCTAAATTGTAGGTGATAACAGATTGAAGAGAAGTGAATGATGAAGATATAGGACACCACATGTGTATTAGTTTCATATGAATTATTTCTCGTGAACTTGTTGAAAGTAGGTTGGAAGAACAAGGGTGCAATGAATGAACTTTGTGTGATAGACTTCAATAAATGTCTAGTGGTTTAAGATAAGTTGTGAGATTCAGTGTTCAGATTTCATTCATGTTTTCAAAAGCATCTGAAATATAAAGTGTGTGTTTTTTGCAAGCTATGAAAGATTTATTGTCTGCAGAATATAAACACAATTTATTATTTATAGGGCTAGACATTGTTAAATTAAAGTCAAACATATTTCATAAATGTACATTTTTAAGAAAGCATTCATTTTGATAAGGAAAAGCAAAAATATAGTGATACTCATCAATCTAGCTATTGTATCGGCAATAATAAAGGATATAAATATGTTGGGCTTTAAGACATTAACACAGGTAGACAATTGCACCTTTAGTTAATTTTTTTACTGTTCAAATTGTGAAACATTCTTGCATTCAAAATTATGGGGAAAAAATAATGGCCTACTTTTAAAAGTAGCATTTGAGCCAAGTTGTGATTTCTATGTCCATGAAAGAGGCTGTAAAATTAATTCTGCTTTGAAAGGCAGCACATTCTAGCTAGCATGAGCAGGGTATTATATGCATGTAATTTGGTCCCCAGAGATGGTGTTTGATTAGCCTTTTGCAAGATTCATCTGGTAGTAAGGGATAGAGATAACCCAAATAATTAGATGGTACATAGAGTGGGAAGGTGTACAACCTTGCGTTTGATCAGAGGTTGGAATTCTTAGATCGACTGGGAGTTGGTATCAGGCATCTGCTCCTCTCCAGAGCAGAAATTGGACTGTTGTGTATTCATGCATGAATGCTCAACTCCTTTTGAAATCCCTTTGCTGTTGTTGGTTCTTACCACCTAAAAAGTACCAAAAATTTGCTTTTGTGATTGAAAAATTCCTTTCTATCACGGTTTTAGTCTGTAGTATTTTTAATGTGGAAAGTGGATGTTTTAGAACAATTATTTGATGAACTAATTGTTTCAGAATTTTAAGGTGAACCTCCCTGGGCCTCTAGGGACAACTCTTAAGGTCTAACAATCATCAGATTTATTAGGATTTTTTTTCTTTTCTTTATAGTATACTGCCATCTATTTATAGAGGCTGCTACTGTACTGTCTTAGGTGTTTCATATTCTTCGTAGTTTTAGGGTAGGAACATTTGGGGATTGTTTGCTGTCATGAGTAGTGGTACCACATATATTAGACCAAATTTTATCACACTAGTTTTGATGTATCCCTGAGTTTAAAGATTTGAATAATCCTGTTAATGTAGTCAGGCTTTCCTGAGGCTGATAGGGTTTTCTTGTGGGGTTTTCACCGGGGTGCTGGAGCATTCAAGAGAACTCAAATCTGTTTCATTGCTGCCTTTTGTACTCAGTTGGCTTTGCCCTTGCTGGAAAAGTATTTTTTTTCCTATTTCATTAAATAACCCAACCTTCAAACAAATCAGCCCTTCTCCCTCCCATTTTATTTTGAAAAGGACAAATATCTGGAAAATACTGTAAGATTACACTATGATTAATTAAAATGGGGCTGTTAAAAGAAATTAGATAAAAATATCTAACTCATACATGTAAAACAGTTTAGTTTTTGAACTATCAGCACATTAAGGATATCAAATTGAAAGTGATTCCTCTAAAGTAGGATGTACTGGAAAAAAACACCATGTTTCTTAGTTCTGTAAAAGTTGTGTAAGCTTAGTTTGGGGCGGGTTGGTGGGGGTAATCAATTGGAATATTTACCAAGTCCTCAAAATAAATGATTATATTTAAGTAATGGTAAGTGCATTATTCTGTTTTACAGGATCTCTTTTCAATCAATGCTTATGTTTATGCTCAGAAGCCGCAGCTGGATATCCACAGTTTTGAGGGGACCTTTACACGGGTAAGTAGTCTATGTAAATACCTGTTCTACTTTCCTCTTTAATACCTTAGTCGTACATGTAGTGTCAACTTTGTACCAGATCTTTCCTTGGCTTTACAGCATGTTTTCCTATGTTCCTGCCACGGCAATACTTCATATAAAAAATATCCTGTTAAACATGTACGGCAGAAAACTAATGCATAAAGAATATCTGAAAAAATCAGAATTGGAGAGTTGAATATTTGTTGATTGACATCACTTTAATCTTTTTATGTGAAACTCTGTGAACAGTATACTGTTTCCAGGCTCTGATGTATTGTTCATATATGTCAAAAACTGATGAGTTGAATAATAGCAGTAGCCTGAGACAATGCATCTGCTAGTTTATGTGCAATAAAAGTCTGCCTTGTTTAATAGCATTTCTGCTGTACTTCCAAAGTTCAGTTTTCTCAAAATGTAAAAAAAGCTAAAAGCTACTTATGGGAGCTTTGCATTGAATCTCTTCTCCATGGTTAATTATATTCAAAACTAATTATGAAAATAACATTGTGATAATATCTATGTCTTGTTTCTGTTGTTTTCAAAAGGTGGCCTGCTAAAGTTGACCTTCTAAAGCAGTGTCCTAATAGGTAGTAATTCTTTCTTTTAAAATAGATTTACAGTTTTGTAGCATTATGTTAGCAGATATAGTGATTGTTCTGTTTGTTTCAGCCAAACTCAGTGGTGTTAGACTCATTCTTCTTGATGGTTTGCTTCTAAAATAATTTGAGAGAATTAACTGCTGGGGAGGTAAAGAGAAGGGTTTTTACCTGTGACTCAAATTGTTAATAGATTTTGTTTTGTAATTGGAATTCCAGTTCACAATTGTAAATACACTGATGAATGAGATATTGCAGTTGCTGGCTCTTGAAGACCAATTTATACCAGTTGCATAGTCCATGCTGCCTACAAAGTAAATGTCATTTGTTCACACCTTCTAAAGCAGTAAGCAACAGTGTTTACTTAAGCTTTGTATTGACTAATTGTCCAAATGAAACTTCTATTAACAGCTGTAAATTCATATTATTCCTCTCAGTGGCTAAGTGTGTACTTTACTACATATATATTGAACTCCTTGGAATCTTTTTAAGAACTCTGATATAAGTAATTAAGCCATTGGGAAATCATCACAGTAATTTGTGTTGTGGGTTCCGTTTGTACACGTCATAAGAGCAGTGTAATTCAAATATCCTGGTGTGTGTAAATAACTGTGGTGCACTTTATGGTTTCAGGATTGCCTATATGGTTTTTTGAGTACTTCAGTAGCAAGGATAGTTTGAACTGAAAGTGTTCAGTTTAAAGCATCTGAGGGCATTGCCCTCAAACTTGGTTCACAGTGAATCACACTAGAGATTTTTCAGAGGTTGGGTTTTGTTAGTGGTGTAACTTCTGCATTGTGAAATGCTGTTTTAGGACACTTGTTTACTGATTTATCTTTCTGCTTCTGCTGTGAGCCCTTGCTTCTTACAATAAATCAGTTCTTGGCTCTAATTTCTATTTTATGTTAAAGCAAAAAAAAAAAAAATTAGTGTGTTTAGTGATGCTAATGCATACATTTTTTCTACTTAAGCATTGATGTTCAAAGAATTCTTGTAAGGGTAGGTTGACAGGGTAATAGCACATTGATTTTTCTTTTTCTTTTTTTCCCCCCATTATGGAGACAGAGTACTAACAATGTAAAAGACAAACTTAGATAATTTCAAAAAGTATGTGTCCATAAACCAAACCAGAAACTTGGGAGCACAGTGCTGAAGTTTTTATGAGCGAGCAAGGTCTAAGAACAAATCTTTCCACAAAAAACCTGGGAGCTGACAGAAGATATCTTTTGCAGAACACCTGCATAATCATGTCAGGAGGCATAAAAGATTTGCTGTACTCTAGTGATATCTACTAGCTTCACATGAAGTTGTTTTCCATTGTCCTCCATAGATTTTGGTGTGGTTTTGCATTGCTCTCCATAGATTTTGGATATGCAGTCAGTGCATGAAAGTGAGTGCGTGTCCTTACATGATCATGTCTGACCTTAAATAATGGCATTAATTAATTCCTCTCCTCCTTTCACATTTACTAGACAGCCTACCAAAAAAACAATAGATGAGCTAAATTAGTGTTTTGTGGAAATTTATGAGGTAGTTTTGTTTGTTCTGAGGGCATCATCCCTGTCTTTGCTGAGCTTATTTTTAATAGTGGTGTACAGAACAACAGATTATATATATATATATATATATATATATAATGAATATATGTTTATATATATTTATATATATATAAAAACAGATGTTATGTGCAGATGTAACTTCTAGAGCTTCTCTTCTGTCTGATGCTCCTCTGCAGGCTTCATAAATGAGGGAGCAATTTTATTAATGCTGAAAATCTGTAAAAAGACAATAAAAGGTAACCATACTTCTTAACACAGCTTTTACCAGTTATAGCCTAAAGAGTATTCTAGAGCGTTACATCAGTGTGTATTGGCATAGCCAGTATTATTTAACCTTTGCTTACTTCTGTATAGAATCATGGAAGGTCTCTCTTGCTTTTAACCTTGGCTATTTTTTGTTTAAATTTGGGGGTTACTTTCACTATTCCCTTAAGAATATTTTCCTTTTATTTCTTCTATATTGCAGCTCTGTTCTGTCCCCATAGTCTCTTCATATACTTTGGAAATACATCTTAATTTTTTTAGATTCTAATAGCAATCTTAGAAAACAAATGCCATTGAGTTCAACTACTTCAATAATCTTTTTCTTTTCACATGATACAGAACTATATTGTGTAATATATATAATTTTTTACAATATAGCATCTTGTTTGATGTTTAAAATAAACCTACCCTGATGTAAAACCTGGTGCATGTAGCTGTATTCATTTATGAGTAGAATCTCTGGCCTGACGCTGATTATACAGATGTTTTCTTGGGTATGCCTTGCATTTTTGTAGAGAGAACATTAAGGTTTTTTTTTTTTTTTCATGTTTGTTAAAGAATTACCTGTTTTGAAGCAATGGTTATGTTAACTTCAATCTGGCTTACTTTTGTGTTGCCACTGAAGAGAATGGCATTACGTTTTGCAAATCCTTTTGACTCCCCTTCCTTTATGCTAGCATTAACAACTATACAGGCAACTTAACTAGGGAGCTAATGTGTATGGAACCTAATCTGATCCTGTCCAAAACACATGCCAGTAAAAGGAACATAGCCAGAAAAATTAACTGTGGGGTTGTGTTGGGGAAGGAATCTCTTTCAGTGATTCAAGTAAATTAATGTGTATTCCACTTTCCTACAAAAGTTGATGGGGGTTGTTGTAGTGCATCCTGTCATGCAGGAACAGAGATAGAAAAGGTCAAATAGAAGTGGTACACTGGTTCACTCGAGGATTAGGTATTTCGTCTCGAAGACCTCTCTTGTTTTTTACAAAAATTTCTAAAAAATTATAGCTTTGAAATTTTTTAAATGACTCCTTGAAATTTGTCATGATCCTTGGTCAGCTGTATTATGAATTCATGAAAGGACTTTATGAAATTAATAATGAAGGACTGAAAATGGGTTGTACTCAATTTTTATTTCACTGATCATCTTTCATTTCTCTGTACATGCAAGAGCTACAGACTAATTTCTGAAAAGAAACTATAGACAATTTAAACCTCTATGATCAATGCTGCTCACAGATTAAAAAACTAAGCCTGAATATGAAGCTTGAATATAATATTGAACTCCACTCTTCTGGTAATGAACTAAATTCAGAACTCAAAGACCAAAAAACATATAGCTGCCAAATGAAATTCAACCCATCAGACCTTAAGTGGAAACTTTGTCAGCTGGACAAAGAAGCCCTTGTATGTCAAATTTCTGCTATAAGAGCAAGTGATAGCTTTCATTTAACCTGAAACATACATTGTTCTGTTAGTGTCAGAAAATTTGCAGAAATATCTCCTTAACACAGGTCTGGTCTCACTCAGGAATGCAGTCCTTGTCCTTCCCTGCTTCATCTGTCCCTGCTGTCTTTCTAGAAGTACAAATAAAAATAGTGTAAAACAGCTAAACTCATAACCCTTAAATGCACCCTGTATTTTTCATTTGAGTAACATAGGACAAAAGAAAAATAAGGGTAAGTCATCATCTGTTTGGGCATGGAAGTTGTGATATTTTGGAAATGAAATGAGCTGTAGAAAGCTGAAAATGTTAGGTGAGAGCATAAAGACATGAAAGTATCATAATTAAATAAGCAGAAGATAAGGGATTGGCAGACCATTCTGTGGATGAGCATGAGTGGAAAGAGAGAGCTCATTTGATGTTTTCCTATTTTGAATGACCTAAAAGAAGGTATTTCACTAAATCTTGCAGCAGTGTTAGACATTGAACAAATGACTTTTTCCTGACCTTGTTGTCAGCTCTGCACGATCGTTGCAGGGCTTTTGATTTCTTCTTGTAATATGGAAGAGTTTCACAATTCAATCTTACAAACTGCTAACTGAAGAATAAGGTAAAACAGAAGATTTACCTGGCTTAGTATCCTGTTCTTGACAATAGCCAGAAGCAGAGTGCTGGGAAGCAGAATACAAGTATTATAAGAATAAGGACATGGTAGTACCTCCTCAAAACAACCATCTGTCTCTTAACACAAGATGTGGGAAATTTCCTGAGTTAGAGCTGTTTTCTGTAAGTAACTTGCAATGAATTTTCCTTCTCTAAACTTACCCAGTTCACCCTTGAACGTGTGTGACCTTTTAACATTGAAATTGGAGGAAGTTACACAGGCTAAGTACATATTTAAGAATGATTGCCTGTTGTTTCAATTTTGTTGACTTTATTTATGACTTCTTTCTTCTTTGGTAAAAATAAGCAGTATCTATACTCCCTTTTTAGGTGCTTTCATTGATGCCTGTCTTATTCCCTATTAGAAGTCAGGTTTTTTTAGTCATATCTAGTATGTAGGCTATGTTGACTTCCCTTATGGCTCTGTTTGAACATTTTCCAGTTCTTTTTACTGTCTACTTGGAATAAACACAAGAAATAATCACAGAACCCAAATAATTTGGGAACAATTGTAAATCAAACCAGGAATCTAGGCATTAAGATGTACGAGTATAACAAATAATTCTTGCAGTACTAATTCCTGAGGTAAGAACCAAAAATAATTCTCCTTTTTCTTAATTTAAGGCTAATCTTATAGAACATTAATGATTTTTCACAGAATCACAGAATATTCTGAATTGTAAGGGACCTGCAATGATTATCAAGTCCAAATCTTAGTGAGTGACTCATAATGGGGATTGAAGCCATAACCTTGGCATAATTAGCACCATGCCCTAACCAACTGAGCTAATCCCAAAATCATCAGAATATAAGTCTTGATTCAAAATTTGTGGTTTTCTTCTTAGGGCTAATTCCATATCCTCCCTCTCTTCCCCTCTGTTTTTGACAGAATGCTTCTCAAGTAACAATTTTTCCTCACTTAGGAGAGTAAGAACTATAGTTTCCTTGCTATATTGGGATCTCTTGATCTATGCACAAAAAGTTATGTGTTTAATTGGAGATTTTTCTTTTTTTAGAAACAGAAATTTCTGTGCAGCTCGTCGCATGCTTGGTGGTTGTATAGAGATGAAAAATGGGCGTAGGTGCTGATTATTGACAATATGTAGAATTTATTCTGTACTTTGATAAATAAGTCATCTCCTCTTTCTTGCAAAATGTTTAGCGACAATATGTAATTTGATCAAATACACTTGATTATCCTACCTCCTAAAGTTTCCTTTAGTTGTAAACAGCACATTTCACAGCTGCTAATGAGTAACAAATCTGTACATGCTCCAAATTGATTATGAGAGATTGTCTGTTTACAATCTGCACATCATTATTGCTTGGGAGGAGAGAGGAGAAGAAAAAAAGAGGATGTTTAAAGTAATCATGGAAACAGTTTTCTGTTGGAAGTATTTTCCCAAGGAGTATATATTTTGTAAGTATGTGGTAAGATAATACAAGCCTATGTTTCATTTTGAAAGTTGCAATATTTTTTCCTGAAGTTTATTATGATGGTCAGGTGCAAAATGATGATGACCATAACTTACTGTATGAATTATACATGATTTAAATACAGAACAGGGTGTTAATTTTTGGAAGTTAGTGTTCATAACTCACTGGATACTATAACGTACTGTTCTGCAGTTCGATACATCTGAGGAAAGAAATATGTTACTTTTAAAATACTTTTGACTAGTTCTTTTAGAATGATTATATAGAAGTAATATGAACTTCAAACATAATTTCACTTTTAGAAAGTTATTTGTATCTGTGTATGTGCAACGAATGCTATTATACAGTGATTGACACAAGGATGCAATCATCCTGTGTCAGTTATTCAGATGGTTTGACTTGGTTCCTAACTTCTTGTGATGGTGATTCACTTATTAGTTGCTCTTATTTTTAACAGGAAGACAGTGATCCTGCAGTTCATGAAAGCCTAAGCATAGAAAATACATTATGGGCAAGCACTGTTGTTGCTTCGGGTAAGTGCTGTGATACAAAGCTGCTAATGTATCTAAATACTTCCAAGGAAATGCATCCTTATTTTTCAAAAGCCTTTAATATTTCACATTGTAAAGTACTTTTATCTTCCAGGCTATTAAACTGTTGCTTTTCTGCCTTCCCATTGGTTTTATCATGCTGCTTGAAATATTTTCGTACATTTTTAATCCTCCTCAATAGCTTTGGGGGTTTTTTAACTTAAATTTTGATCTTTCAGTAGTGCAGTCTCTTGTAGCCCACTGACGTCACTGACCTTTTTGATTTAATTAAAACTTTACATTGTAAGGTGCTCTGTTCAGTCACAGTGGATGCTTTTCCCTGCTGAAAACCAAGGGTGGTTTTGCATTTTTTAGGAGTTTTTCTTCTATGTATACTTTGTGATTAGTATTTTCTATTAGGCAAAGTCTTAATCAGAAAGAGTAGTTAAGTTTCGAGGTAATTTTAAAATACTGGGCTCTAAATATTGTTAGTGTTTCATGTATGTCCCAGATATTAGAAATGAGTACACATTAATACCTAGATGCTCTATTCAGACTTTAAGCCATTGTAACTTTTTTTTTTTTTTAGAGCAGAAATCTATTTTCTTTAATTTTTCCTCTGTGTAAAAAAAGTCAAAAGGGCTGTGGTTATTCTTCTGCATGAAGACTGAGAATAAGGAATTGAGAGGGCATGATTTCTGAAGAGAACTAGAATTTAAGAATGGGGAATTGGAAAAACTGGGAATAGCCAATAAATGGGAAGAAAGTAAAAGAGTCTCCAGCAAAACTGTAAAGTTAGCCCATACTATGAAGACTTCTTATATCCGTGAGGGGCCTGCTGGAAGGATGTAGGGAAGAGATTAATTCTGAGGAGGTAGAAAAGAAGTCTGTGGCTGAGCACTCCTTTCCTGAGTGCTGAAAAGATGTTCAGTCATGTTCTTTGATTCTTAGTGTTGTTTGGTTTGATTGCACTGGAAAATTATTCTCTCTAAAACTCTTTGGTCAAATGGATGATGCCTAAAATTGTCCTCAGGTTTTTAACTTAGGTAGCCAAGATCTTTAACTTTGTATAATAAGATGCTTCTCATGAATTATAAATTTCAATACTGTAGAAACTTAGTTTGAGTTTCCTTTTCCTCAAATCTGTGTGTGGAAGAAAACTACAAACAAATAGTATGCATTTGCAAACTCTTTAATTCTGAATCAGTATATTTGAATTGTAACTGAAAGCTGTTCATGTTTTCATTCCCATGAAAATAGATGATTATTTTGTTTAGAAGTGTAGCTATTGACTGATTGCTCTTAATCTAAATTTGGCACCCATATTAATGGAAACAGCTCTGCTTAAAATTTATACCTTAGGATAAGTTTGAGTTTTTTACATCTGAGGGGTCTTGTGAAAGTTTAATTATTTATGAAGGACTTTATCTCATTATTAATGATGGCAGTGGAAGAACATAGGAAAAGATAATTCTCTTGTTGGGACATATTTTTAATAGTGGAATAAGACTAAGACAGACTAAGGGCAAACTCACTGAACAATACAAAGTAAAAAATATTAAATGGCTCTTCAAGACTGCAACCCCTTCTGAAGGGAAAAATAATGTGATCAAGAAATTAAAAATTGTGCTGTGTTGTGCATATAGAAGTTAGCTTGAATTTAGGTACCAGACAAAAATAATTTCCTTCAGTAACTGATTTTGTGGCATTAATTATATCTAACCTTTGGAATATCATTCATTTCGCTTACCTCATTTCATGTATTAACTGCAATTTAATACCATGGTAATGTGTTTCTCTCATGTATGTACTCATTGTCCTGTAAGGCAAAAATCCAGATCTTAAGAATTACTCAGGAACTGTGTGGATGTAATTTTAGCATTTGATAGGATTAGCACTTTAGCAAAAAGTAGGAAATTATTTCCTTCAGTCTGTTGCTTATCTAATAAGACATTTATAATATCTTAGAGGTACACTGTGCATATAGTCATGAGGAAGACCATAAGGTAAAACATCTAGCAAATTGTTAAAATTTAGATGGTCTAGATCTGGTTGATAACTGATGCATCATTCAGTTGTTTCCATCTCACTTCCAAGCTGAATGTACATAACTAAGTTAGAACACTTGATGATAAGCTAATTAAATTTGCTTGGGTTTTGTTTTTTTTTAAATTAGACTTCATAATTGAATTTCCAAGATTTATGACAACTGAAAATCTTAATAAAAATGCTGGTCACCGTCTGACTGCATTATAAACATATATAAGCTGACTTGCTTAAACCTGCCATGGAAGGATATGAAAGGTGGACTCTGCCTACAGAAGTTTGCAGGTACCTCTGCATTCTCTCCCCTAGTAAAATCGGTCACAGCCCTTAATTATATCTGAAAAATCTAGTGGAAAAATATGCTTGTGCACAGCTTCTACAGATAAGTGACACTAGGATTCCATGAAAACAGAAGAATAAACAGCCTGTAGTATGTGAAAGTGTGCAGTTTTTCTACTCTGTAGACAGCTACCTCACTCACACTTGTATCTGATTTCAGTGTCCTCACTGTTGAGGTTCACAGTTCTGTTACACACAGGTATTTTTCACTGAAAAAGTCTATGATGTTGTGCAAACCCAATAATTCTATTACTATTGCACTTTGGTTCAAGAAAAGGGATTTGAGGCCTGAGTCCAGGTAGTGGAGGGTAGAGTTCCACCCTGCAATGTATCCTGTACATCTCTTCATTTACCCTAAGACTCTTCAGTATGACATCTTTAGTACTGTCTGGCTTGAAAGGCTGCTCTCTCCAGTGCTCTCTAAGCAGCCTGGACATCATGTGTTACTAAGCCAAGCAAATGTGTGACTCACTGGGACCTTGTTAGACCCTTTCCAACCCCTTGTAGGTTGTAACAAAGTGTTCTGTGTCAACCTAGCACTGCTATCTTGACATATTACTGACTGACCCTGTCAGTCTCAGAGAGCTACATCACTGACACCCACGAAAGGAATATGTACCTGAGTTGCAGATACAAAGCCTTATTTAATTATAAAAATGGGTTTGTATAGGACATACAGGATAATTTTTGGGTGAGGGGGCTCTCCTCCCAGGGTTTAATACATGCTGAATTTCCTGATAGTACTCTTTGACATATTACAAAAACCACATTGCATCAGGTAGGATAGCCCACTATCTCCAGGATAGATGCCCTTGCTATTTGTCAAGGTGGTACAGAGGGTCAAGGTTAGGCTGGGAAAAGTGTTTGGGGAATTATGTGGGGAATACCTCAGAAAACTTGAGCTCTGGTTGCTGATGCCATGACAGTTCTAGAAGAGAGAGACCACAAATCAATTATTTCACAGATCAGTAACAGTAAATTTAAGTGTATAACGGTTTCAAGAAATCTTATCAACTGCATCTTGAATGCAGATTACCAAAGCTCATGAGAATATCAGAATACTACAATAATGGATTCTACAGAGAAAAAAAGCACCTATTGCTAGAGCAGTAGAAGTGACAAGAAAAGTATTTGCTATAATTTAAGACTTTTTTGTTTTCTTCCTGAATTTTGGGAACCAAAAAATTGATTCAGTAAAATTGTGTAATTCCAAACAACACGAGAATAAACTATTCCATGCCATTTTTTTAATTGAAATATAATGTTCAGGAGAGTAAGATTACTCAAATTTGTACATTTGGAAGGCATTTACTTTCCCTGGATAGAGTATGTCTCTTTAAAGAAGAAAAATAAGCTAAATGGGAGGGGCAGGAATCCATTTTACTACACCTAATATATACCCAGTTTCAAAATTTATAGTTTAGATATCTAAATGGAGATTCCTACTGATATCCAGTCTGCAGGGTTTTTTGCCCTTTGATGTAAAGCTCTGACAGAGATCTGGTGACCACCTATATGATGCTTATCCTAACCCTAAAAAGGACAAAGATTAATGTGCCTGGATCACACTGGAAGCCTCTGGCAGGGATGGAAATCAAAAGCCTTTTTCTCAAGTCCAAAGCATGCAGTCATCCTTTAGTTATTCTTAATTAAGTGAGATAGGAAAAAATATTCTGACTTTTCCACTTACAGGCAGTATTCTAGCAGGTTTTTAAAAAGTAACAGTAAGGCACAGAGTCTGTGTCATTCTTAATATCTGTATTATCACTGTGGAATTAATAACAGTGCCTGAAGGAAAGGAATTTTGGTTAGTGAAAACTTGCAAAACTACTGTCCCTGGAGAAACACTTCTAAATATAAGCAAGTAACTTAAACAACTGAGTATTCTGAAAACCTCTTAGTTTATCTTCAATTAAATTACTTATCTTTCAGATCATTTGTGCTTGTGGCATCAATGACTGTGGTGTTTGTGCTTATTGAAAGCTTCGGTAGGCTTCATTTCAGAATGGGAGAGAGGAAAGTTAGCAGTTAAATTTTAAAAAGCTTTAAAAAGTCCACTACAGTAGGGACTTTAGCTTTTTGTTCTCCATTTGTGGTAATGATCAGTGTGGTTCAAGTGCTGAACAAGATAATGCAGCTTTCTAAGAAACCTGCTGGGATACCTATTAAGAGAAGATTTGTATTAATGAAATTGCATCCTCATTTTGGCAGATGTCAGTCTTGTGAAGTCACTTTAGATAAAATCAGAACAATTTATATAAATGCACAGCTGTCAAAAGCAGTATTTTCTGCCAACTCCTACCTACAACTTTAATTAATTTGAGCACACCCTGGTTTTTGTATGGTTCATACAGTGGAGATGCATGCTTGGGAGATACCAAAATTGGTATGATCACACATCGGACTCAGAGTATGCCTGGCTATCACAAGTCTGCTTTTCCTTTTTTTTTTTCTAGACCCACATTTGTTCTAGTGCTATCTCCTAACTTCTCTCCCATCATTAACCACTCCATCCGTACCTCTCAGTGACTGCCCAGCGTAGGACAGCCAGTTTGCAGAGGCCGCATCCATAAAAATACATGAGTCATTACTTTTAATAAGCTATAGTACAGCTAGATTCAGTTCATGTTCTTGGACATCAAAACTGTCCCTGGAGCAACCACTGTGGGATATTGGAGTGTACCAATATTACAGACGGGACTGCCTTGGTCTGTCTGGTCTCGGCTGCTGACCGAATAGCGGCACCTGTGGTGTTTTCTCCCCAGAGGCGCTATTCCATACCTGTGCTTGCAGCTGAGCATGTGGAGACAAGTCCAGGCATGCCCCAAGCTCCAGTGCTTGCGGGCTGGAGCTTGCTTTGAGGGGGTCACTCCTCTGGCCTTCCTGAGCTGGAGGTTCCTTTAAGCCAAGGTGAAGAAAGGAGCGGGTCCCGATGGAGAGTTTTTAATCCAGAGTTTTTATTTCAGTGGCACAGCCTCTGAATCTTCCAACAACTTCCATGAACTCTCCAACAGCACTCTTCCACCACAACCCCAAATGTGTGTTCTCCTTGTCCTTTTACCTGGGCAGAGGGGAGGGGAGGGGACCCAGGGAGCACCAACCAGGTACAGGGGGAGGGGGTCTCAGGTGAGAGGGACACCTGGGTGGGCCAATGGCTCCCCAGGGGGTGGAGAGCATCCTTTGAACCTGCCAATTGCTCGACGCTCTCCTTGGAATTTCTGGGTTGATAGACAGTGCCCGGCAGGTTTCAAGGGTGGGGAAAGGAAGGGTGATTACAAACCACCTGGGGAAGGAGATTTCAGGGAGAACCCAGGGGAACTGAGGCAAATCATGACATCACACCACAACAGTGGGACAATAATGAAACTACAGATAGAGTTCCCTACACCAATGTACTTCAGATCTAAGGAACACTTAGTTATCACTGATACTGTGCTAATGCCAGAAAGTTTAAAATCTAAGATCAACGACTTGTTAAAAGCAGCAGTTTAGTCAGATCTAACCAAAATTCTGCTCTAAGTTCAGTAATTAAAATGGAATTTATCTGACTTTCACCTTTGAAACCAACTTTTTGAGGAACCAAATATGAGACGAGTAGGGCAGTTTGTTTTTCTGAGCTGCAGCAGCCAGGAGAAACTTTGTAGAAATTTGCAATCTGGGAGGTAGAGTCTTCCCCAACTTCTACTGAACTAAATACCTGTGAAGGCAGGGGGTGCTGGAGTGTGCAGGAGGAGATTCCCTACAGCGTATTGTCCAATACCTTCTGACCACTGGACAGAGGTCAGCTCAGGATCACTCCAAAAATGAAGTACCCCAAAGGGATATGTGGACATTGGTTGGAGACAGACGAAAGGGTTCAGAAATTATGGATTAGTGACTATTGCAGGAATTTTGGGATGGCCTGGGCATTGATCAGTGGGCGTGAGCAATGATACTATGCATCACTTATTTCACTTGGGTCTTTGTTTTCTTTTGGGGGGGTGGTGTTCGTTTGGTTGGTTTTGGTTTTTGTTTTTTGGCCTTTTTTTCCCTCATTACAATATTTATAATTATTGATATTATCACAAGTATTACTAGTATTGTTTTTATGTTTACTTTGTTTCAATCATTAAACCACTCTTATCTGAATCCATGAGTTGTGGTGAGATTTTTTTGGATGGGGGGATTGGTTGGTTGGTTTTGTTTTCTTTTTAATTTTTTTTTCCTTATTCTCCTCACCATCCTGTCATTGGTGCTCTGGGGAGGAATTGAGTGAACAGCTATATAAAACTTAGTTGCCTGGGGTTAAACCGGGATACATTTTTATTTTTGAGTAAATGCAGACATCTTTAATGCAAACTTCTTCCACTATCATCTTTTTTGTCTTTGGGAGTTTCTTCAATTTTTTACAACCTGTTACACTACAAGACTAGTGGTAGCAGATGTTATATGTGGTTTTAATTGCCAAATACAAATTAGGTTAATGTCAGTCAAACATGCAATACTTCTACTTTTCCTAAAGTTTTCTGAGGAGGGAGTTTTTGGATAGTTATGTTTATTATTTCTTTATATCATAGTGACCACCAAAAGAATCACGTTATTGGTTGTACTGCCATAAAGCCATTTCAGGTCACTTTATGAAGTAATAGAAATAAGGGGAGTTTTTTATGCTAGAAAGTGGTATGTGACATATTAATAAAATAATTTTTTTAATATTAAAATTTATTTAGTGATGCTGAAGCCAAGTTTTCCTACACCATGCTGTAAAAATTGACTAAAACTAATTTAAAAATTAAAATGTTTATAAGCTAATGAAGATACTATTTCTGTATAACATTATATCAAAGTAATTAATTGGCTGAACCAGATTTTACTTCATTATAGATGGCAGAGGTAGCAGGCAATTCTGTGTGATGTGTTCAGCACCACTTTACTCATTTTTTATTCACTGTGCAGTTATTTATGCCGTCCTAACTTCTGAAAACAGTTGGAGGAAATTTTAAGTTCAAGTACAAATTTCTAACCAGTTCCATTGGAAGTATTGTTTCCATAAAAAAGAAGGAAAGCATGTTATCATCTTTATGGATGTTTATTGCAGAAGTTAAAATAATTCTTTATTTTACATTCTGAAAATCAGCACTCACAGTGTTGTGCAGAAATGTTGGGGTTTTTTCATACAATTGATTTATTTAAGGAACTAAATTAGTGCACGTTTTAATTTGGCAACATTTTCTCTCATTTACATCTCTGGGTTTTTGTTTGTTTTTCAGGAACTGTAATTGGTGTAGTTATTTACACAGGCAAGGAAACACGAAGCGTAATGAACACATCCAATCCAAAAAATAAGGTAAGTTAGTCTTACTCTGCAATTGCCAGATTCTGTTCTCAGAAAACTTAAAAAGAGATGTATCTAAACCCAAAAATCTAAAAGTTTTTACTGTGATGTGTTTCATGTGTGCTGCTGCCTTGAATGTTGGTACAATCTGCCACAGTCTCCTTTTGAACGTAAAATTATTTTTCCTTTAGCTAGGAGTGTTACAGGTAGTAGTGGGGACATTTGTCTTTGAAGTATCAGTGTTCATCTTCAGACCTTTAGAACTCTGTCTCACAGCTAAATATTAATTTTCACTTCTCACAGATTATTTTACTGTACAGTATTTGGCTAAAGGTAGACAGTAGTTTTAAGGAGTGTTTATAATAGAATACTAAAGTTTCATGAAGGTTACCAGTGGTGGTAGAACAAGATAACTGATGTCCAGTCAGTACCCAGAACACTCTTTCAGGGATTTTTACAAGCAATTAAAATATTTTCAAGAGATTTTTCTGTCAAGAAGATAGCAGAGGTTTCAGCACTTCTCTCTGTACAAGATTCTTTCTGTTCTAAACAAAGCAAATAGCTCTTCACTTAATCAGTAATGTTTCTAATGTAAGTTGGGGAGGACTCGCAATTTTAAAGAAATAGAACTTCAGCTGTGGGCTGTACCTTACAACCTAGACCTGTGTTTAGTAAGAAGATAATTATATTAAGAAAGGAAAAAATTATTGCAAGAGGTTTAGAAAAAAAATCAACAGTGACAGGTTGCCATTTTCACGCCATTCATAATAAGTTGCTCTGAGTAGGAACATCAAGAGTGAAATGATAATACAAATTGCTCGAAGCAGTTATTGCAGTCCCCTGAGTGTATTGATTTGTGTTTCTAATAAAGAGATGCTTTTAAATGTCTCATTGACAGAGACAGGTGATATGTACTATTATGAGGATTAAGATGGCCTTTTATTATTTTAATCTTTGTAACATGCATTTTAAAATAATAGAGTAAAATGGAACCAGAATGTTTGTGGTGTATGGTTATTTTCTCTTCTACCTGATACAAAGATGAGCCCTTTAGTAACAGAATCTTTTTCTTAAGAATTCTGAACAACTTCTCACTAATAAATAATTCGCACAGATGTTTAGAATGAAATTATTTAATGTAGTAAACTGATAAGGAAATGTGCATGAGTGTAACATGCATTACCTAAATTCAGCAGATTCTAGGGATGTATTAGGCTTTTACTAAATGTTAAATTTTTTGTATGTGACTATTTCAACAATAGTATTGGCATGGAGATTTTGTCTCTGTGAACTGAGCAACCATGATTAAAGAAGTAACCAACCTGTAACATGGCCAGTAAGGATGAATTTGGGAACTGAAAACAGGAGAACACTTACAGCTCTCACAGCTGAGTAAGTGATAAAATGCTGTACTGCACTGTAAAAAACAGTTGTCATCATTTTTAAGATGTAGTTTTAGCTGTACCTTTATTTGCAGTCTGCATCTTACTGTCTCTGTCTTCTACCATGGGATGAGATTGGTTTGCATACTTCTGTACGATGAGACACTTGCTGTCTGTAGGTGATATTTTTGTGCTAGCTAGACATGCAGAAGGTAGACAAACAGTACTCAGTTCATTCCTCCTCTGTGTATTCGGGGATCTTCCCTTATTTTCTCAAGCTTGAAAATAATGGTTACATGTTAGCTAGGGTATGTCGCATTAGGACCCAAAAGGAGGGGCAAAGGGAGTCTAAAGTAGCCTTTGGAAGTAGAAGATATATTACATTTGAGAGATTAAAAATTTGAATATTTAAAAAATAAATCAGCATACAACTTGCTGAAACAAAATTAAAATTAAATTGTTCAGTTTTGCTATTGCTGTGAACTTGAGAGGAAATAAGTCTGCAGCCTTTTCTGCTTTAGTAAAGAATTGTTTGAAATACTGTTTGAAAACAGTTTTAAATGGCACATTGTTTCTCTCTGCTGCTCTTTGAAGACAAATAAAAATAACATTTTAGAGATTTTCCTGTACAACATATTGATACATTCTTACTGGGAACATAGTTCAATGATGCTGGTGTCTTCTTTCTCTGGGAGAAAGCAAACATTGAGATCTATGATTCCCAAATTACACTGTCAAACTGAAACTCATAGGTCCAGAAATAAACAAGAAATTCATGGGCCTGACTCTTTTATCATTACTCTCTTCATTGAAATACAGATAAGTGCTACAGTTGTATTTTTTGCTGGAGAATAACATTGTTGCTGTACTTCATATTATAAATTTGTTTTTTCTAGTGGTAGATTTTTAATATGCCTTCTTAACACTAGATGCTTTTTGAATGAACCAATATTAAAATTTAAAGATGCAGACCTGCTCTGTAAACACTCAGCAAAAGACTAAAACTGAAATAAGTTTAGGAAAACTTACATAAGAAAAATTATGAAATTTATGTACCTGTTCAAGCATGGGATTTATCTGTATGTTAAACTTAGAAGGATTTATTGTGTTTGCTGAAGTATTTAGTCATTCAAGCAACAATTTTCTTAACTTAAAGTCAACGCTTACTTGTTTTATTACAATTGTAAAATTGTTTCATTGCCTAAGGATGCAAACACAGTCTGAAAAACACAAAGATAGAGAGTGTAGAATTTTCTTAATGGATCAATTCAATATGCTTTTAATTCCAACAATATAAAGAAAAATTATTTCTGGCAAGGTTTAATTTCAGTCTAAAATGATATATGTTCTGTGCTTCAGATAAATGTGGAAGTGGTAACATCAACATTATAGTGTAATGACTCTCTGCATTTTACCTCATTGGCAATCACATCAGCTTGCTCAGGAATGCAGTTCCAGTCTTTAAAGGAAAAAAAAAATCAGATTGAATTGTGCTCCTCACAATGCTGTAATCAGTAATCAATCCTGTTTGGATAGATATTCTTAAACCTTGGCTTTCTGGATGAAGTTGGACTTGTCAATGCTAAAGGTCATTTATAGGTGTTAATTAACCAAGAGGGAAATTAACAAACTAAGGTTATTTATTTATTTTGTCTGGCATTTTGTGGTGTTCTCATTCTTCTTTAAAGTGCAGAACAGTTTTTTGTTATCTAAATTCAGAGTTGCTTTTGCAGCTTTAGTCTTCATAGAAAGCAAGACTGTTGGTGCAACCTTTCTGTAAATGTGACTTTTTTTCCATCAACGGAAACAGATTTTGGGGGTGAAGTTAAAAAACCACAGTATCCTTGGCAGGACATGGAAATAAATTCAAGATAATGTATTTTGTGTACTAAGATTGAAACATTAAAATTTCTTGGACTTTGCAATATGTATACACACAGAACATGCACAGTAATGCATCAAAATTAGTAGAAATTATCTTAAATGGAACTGCTGAGAAATCAGTAGCCTCTCTAAAGGAGCTACAGCATGTAATCTGTCTAGTGTGCTTCAGATTAGTATAAAAATAGTTTTAATGTTGCTAATCCTTACAAGCAGCATTCAAAACACTTTTTCTCTCCCCTTATTTTATGGAATTCTACATCTGCTGTTACATTTTAACATCAGAAGTAAAACTTCATAGTAACTATTTAGTGTTCATCAAAATAGTAATACTGTTTTTACCCTAATTCTTAACTAGCCTGAAAGCTAACTACTCTTGTGGTTCCTGCTTTTGTTGCTTGTTTGCTGTTTTGATTTGGTTTTTTAACATATGAACATCTCAAAAGGGTGGTTGGGTTTGTTTTTTTTTTTTTTTTTTTTTTTGTGTGTGTGTCTGTATATGTTGCCCTTGGTTATTTGAAAACGGCCTTGCTGTTCTGGTAAACTGAGGCAAAATCACTTTGCTGCTCTCTCGCGCTCTCTCTCTCTCTCTGTCTCTCATTCTTTCTCTCCTCCCAAAAAATTTCTTTCTGGTGTTTTGTGACCAGATTTATTTCTCTGTGTTTAAAAGGCTTTTATCTGTGTTCTTTCTCCACTTTTTTATGAGGATGATTTTTGAAAAATATTTGCTAAAAAAAGGATACCACTCCCTCCAATTCATTATTTGGAGTGAAATGGAGTGGCTGGAGCAGATTCATGTGGTGCCAGAAACTGATGCCACTTCACCAATTCCCCGTTCAGCATAGGTATTTCAATATTCAAAATATATACTTCTTCTGCCTTGGCACATTTTTTTGAATGACAATCAATTAGGTTGTTCAACATCTTGTTAGTGGCATTAGTAAGCCATTCTTGTCTCTTCTACCCAAAAGGCTGACATTTCTAAGTCCAATTTGCATTTCTGTTCAGGGCTTCATAAGGGCATTGACTTTATCCTGCTCCTATGTTGTTGTGCAAGTTGTGCAAGAGCCCAGTAATTTCACTTGCATATTTTTTTACTAAGTTGATAATTTCATGCTCATAGTCTGTTTGAGAAGAATGCCTTTGGCTGTGCATCTGAAGGGTCAGGGTTAGAGTAGAACAGTGAAAACTGTTACATGGTTCTTCATGGCAAATGTTAAGGATTTATAAGAAAAATGTTTATGCAGCACTTTTTATTGGAGTATAGTCTGCTGTAGTTAATCCTCTTAAACTTCTCTTTGTATTGGATAAAACTGAGAGATCTGTCACCTACAGGTTGTATGTTGGTGACATGCTTAGCTTGTCCCCTGACACAGAGCTTCTGTCCAAGAAAGTGCTTAACTACCAGTTTCCCATGAAGCATGAGAATCCCTTTCTTGGTGTACAGGAGAATTTGTGGGATCAGGCCACAGGGAAATACGTATCATGTAGGGTTGTTGATGCTTTTCTCTCCATGTGCTGTCATCTCTGAAAAAAGGAAGGAGAGTAGCACCTTGAAAAGCCTAGTGTCTCTCAGCAAGAGGAATGGAACAGTGTTGGGTAAGGAGGAAGACAAAATGTACTTTTCTTTAAAAGTTTGGAAAGAAAGGGCTAAATGGCAGAGGAGGCACCTTTGTTGTTCCAAAATTAGAATGTAGGAATGTTGATGCTTGGAATCAGTCAGCAGTGTTTTGGCAAACAGAAGACAAA